TAGTTGATTAATTCTAGTAAAATTATTTTTCCTGGCAGATCAGCCAAATATATTAAAATTTAAGTTCCTTTAATCTGAGGATTTTTCAATGGCTTTGCCTTTTGACCTATTAGTGCGCAATAAGGACGCTGATATTTTGTTAGGTGAATAATCAAGGAAGCGATTGATAGATTCACTGATAAAAAAAATTATCTTTAGTCATTCTCCAGTGGAAATTGGCTATTTTAGCTATCAGTACGTTTCAGACTAATCGTTAGCATTTGTGGCTTCTTAAGATTATTTGTAAAAAGTCCCAGTAATGGTGTATCTGGACCTATTAGATCTATTAGCTGCTGAAACTAGCTCATTTTTCTGTGTGAATACTTTAGATGATTCATGTCTTTTGTAGAATTACAGTAATTATGTTAGCTGTTAAGAGTCCATTATGAATTCCCCCCCATATAGTGTGGGAGGTGCCAAAACCTGAGAAGGGTGAGGAGGCGTGTTCGTGTGCTGGAAAGACAAAGGACTTCCCCTAATGCCTGGAGGAGGAGATTTCTGCAGAGCAGACACACACCTTTATGATTGTGATTGTGTGACCTTTGGTCTTCAGTACACAGTACCTGAAGGCTTAGGCAGACAGAGTGAGACTTATGCAAGAGAAGAAAGTGTGATGCTTCTCTCCGCTTGCACTGTTGTCAGGACTGTGCTTTCCTGGAAATGAATTCCTAAATTTACTGGAAGTGCCTCTGCTTTTCTGATTACTCTGGACCCTTTTTTCCCCCCAAATCGGGGGTCTTATTTATTTAATTTAATTTTTTTTCCTGTGGAAAATGGTTCGATTTGTCCGTCTTACATCCTGGCGCAGCTGGGACCTACTGAATGTGGACACTGAGATTCCTGAACCACCGACACCAACATTAACTGAGAGTCAGGTGAGAGGCCTGTTGATTGGTCAAAGTGCAGTGGAAGATATGAGTATTTTTACTGCTTTTCTTTGTCTAAAAAAATTATGTTTTTGTTTTTTAGCTGCAGTGAACAAATAATCGAGTCATTTTTTTAATCAAATGATTGCTTTTTTAAAAAATGGCAAATATTTGGCACATGTGTGTTGACTAACGTGGAGTTTCTCTCAGCTTTAATTTCCTGGTTAAGCACACGTTATGTGTGTTTTACTGCTTAAGCTGGTGTGTATTCAAGCTTTGAGGAAGGTCAGTGTGCACACTTTTTCCCATCGTTAATCAACTTTCCTGATCAAGGGAAGTTGTTATCAGTTGCATAAAGGTAGTTGCAGGGGCACAGTGAGTAATGGGGGGGGCACTACTTTTCTCTTTGTCACCACTTACTTCAATACAATCCCTTCCCATTTTATGATTGTTCTTCTTTACAGGCCAAGGTTGATGCTACAAACTACAGTGATAAGATAAGGCTGTGTGGGCAAGCTCGGTGCTTGATATCATTAACCTGACTGGCCCCAACTAGACCTGCTGAACAAGTCTGTTCCCAAATTGTGTTGCTTTATAACAGAGACCGCTCAGGTCAGGTTTACACAGTAGGCCCGAGGAAAAGCTTGTAAACATAATTAGTTGGGCAGAAATGAGTTGAGCGGCTTAATGTTTGCCACCAGGTCCTCATTATGCCACCAAAACATAGGATCATAGAATATGTCTGTGTTGTCTGGTACCAGGATGGTGCTATTGGATCCTTTGAGTCCTATTGGTAGCAGGTTATGGCTGGGGTCTGTAGAGTTTGGGAACCAAACCAGCACCAGGTTTTGCAGTATGGCAGGGTGTGTAGCTGTGCTTGTTGGGGAGTGTCATCAAACCATTGTGTGTGCCAGGATTCAAAGTAATCCAGAAAAAACATTGTGTTGCAGGCGTTGTAACAAGAAGACCTATGTTAGTTGGTTTTATTATTGTGACTCATCTATATTTGGTCTGACTGAAGGACTAATGGGCAGTGTAATTACTAAGATAAATATAATTTCTTTGACTGTAATGTTTAGAGTTGTTACCAACTGTTGTATAGTTCTTGTAGTCAAGATCTATTGTTATGCTAATTATAATAATCTGATTAGATTTATTCAGTATGCCAAAGTGCCAATTACAACTTTTGTTTGATCTTCAGCCCAAAACCCAAATATCCTGAGATACTGACAAAAAAATAGCTAATGTAAACTCACACAACCCCAACAATCTCTGGACTTAATTCTCTCGTAATCTACTTTATCTAGAAAGTTCTGAGCCTTTTCTTTTTGAGAAACTGTGCGCCCGCTCGAGCTTATCTGCTTGGCATAAACAGCATTTTGAATGTGCTGAAACAAGCAAGTAAACAAAGGGGATTTCCCTTTTTGTCATTATTGGGGAATTTCTTTCCTTGTTTTGACTCCGTTGCCTGGCATTGTTTAAGGATCTCTAAAGCAAAACAGCGATTAAAGATGGCAAAGAATAATGGCTTTGCGTCCAAATAAGAGGAGAAAAAGAAGTATCTAAACTGCAATTTGCTTGCACTACAAGCAGGGCTAATCGGGGGGTGAATCCTTTGGGGGAGGGAAGAAAACCAAAGTGTGCCTGATTCACAAGCAGGGAGTTGATAGTTTATTTGTACTTCAGAGCAGCCTGTTGAGACTAAAGACCATTTGGCATCACCACAAGTACCAGGATGCTTGTTCAAACCAGGGAGCTCCCTGAAAGCTGCCGCAAAAGCTCCACCTCCTAATATTCAGATCAGCCTCCTCTGGTGCCTCCTCTTTCCTGCCCAACACAATGAGGCAGGATCCTCCTGGTTGCTATGACTTCTGGCCAGTGCGTGTGTGAAATGCAAGCAGGCTGGGCGCCTCAGTGAGTAGGTTCACCGCTGACTGTCGGAACAGCAGGGCAGGACACAGATACGTCCCGGCTCAAAGAGAAGCTGCGATCGGACTCTGCAGGACGCGGCGGGTAACCCGGATCCTGTCAGCTGGAATAGGCGTTTGCAGACTTATTGAAGTTCAAGTTCTGATGATGAAATAACGTGGGAGTGTTGTAGCTGTCACTCGACTTCTTTGACTGACTTTGCATCGGCTGAACTGAACAGCGAGGACGACGTGGATGTGTGTTTCACAGTGGAAGTGGAAAGAGAGGAGGCGAGAGGTTGACAGAGAGCAGCAGCTGGCTCCAGAATGGGCTGCGATCCATGAATCCAATTGAAGGATTAGGATGGTTTTTGTTACTTTTGACATGCCGCTGGCTTCAATGGTGAGCACTGTTAATATGGTGGGAAACTGCTGATGGCATTTATCCCTTGGTGGTTATAATTACAACTTCCTGGCCTTGAGGCTTTATGAAAGGTGTTTTCTTAAAAACCAGTTTTTTAAACTGTTCACGGTGTTCATTTCTGATCCAAAGTTTCCTTCATGTATGCCATCTGATATGTAGAAATACTTTAGCTGCTTTTCTTTGCCATTATTACAGCCTCCTTTAAATGTATAAAACCCTGTTCGTTGATTGCCTCGTACAGCAAAGTCAGACAAATGAATCAGGTTTCAGTTTGACCAGTCGTGCGCTCTCAGTAGCACAGGGTTCAGATTTTCCCTGTTTGACCATGGGGACTCGGCACTTCCTACCACCTGTGTCCTTGACCAGTTGGACCAACAAAAAGTCCCTAAATGGCTCCATGCTCGTTTCCCTTTCAACTAAAGCGCCTCCAAATTTGTCCCTTTCCCCTCTTTCACTTTAGTTTTTGTTTTAAAGCCAAGATGTCACTCTGCAGTTAGGTCACTGCTCTCTTTGGTAATAACTCCTGAAAGATGAAAGGACTAAAAGCCCCTTGAAAATTTAGCTTTACTTACTCATTATGCAACCCTGTATAGGACACTTATGCACCTTCATTGTAGTTAAGTGGTACCATTAAGGCCCTCCTGAAATGAGTCTTCACAATGCAACATTTCAGCCAGAGTTTTTCATTTTTTAGCTTCAGTTTACATTCCATTGCGTAACATATACATGCTAGAAACGTTTATGGTGACAGGCAGTTATCATTACTTTATCTTGAAAACCGTTTACATTTTACAAGTAATCAAGGCTTTTTATCTAGTCTTCTTGTTCCTGCAGTTTCCCCTAAAGTAAAAGTCAAGTGCAGTCTTAGTTTGCTTTAATCCGTGGTACATTTTAAAATTTGATAGTCCTCAAATTATATGTCAGTTATTTGTAATAGTAAACTTTAGGCTGTGATGAATTAAATCTGGCTGTTTACTATTTTGTGAAATTTCACGAGTCTGACACTTTTGGACCAGAAGAATTGGAAAGTGCATCTGTGATATCCATCAGTGCAGCAGCTTGGTGTTTTTACCACATTGTGTTTGTGTAGGCTTGTTTGTGTTTCTGGGGGGGTGATGAGTAAAAGAATTTCACTGGAATGGACGGCGAGTTTCAGAAATGGTGTCAGTGTCCAGGAATGTGAGTTCCTTTTGCTGTGTTTGAAGTGTCGCGGGGTGTCGATGTCCTGCCTCTTGCTGACTCCTGACCAGCAGATTCTTCAGCATTGACACTCCGACGACAAAAACAACTGCTTCCTCAGATACTGAGGTGGGCCCTGTTTGTTTGCTTTGCTGCTGCTCGTAAAGTGTACAGAGATTGCATGAGCGAGGGCGCGCGCCAGGGCCTGCTGACAGGGTAACAATGGACACGGAACAATGGCCAGACTCGGCCGTCTGTTCTTTTGGAACAACCTCCCGCCTGCTCCTTGTGATGCAGTGAACATACACAGCGAGGAAGTGGCAGTCCTTCCCTCTCCTGTTTGTGTCCAGGCATTTGGATAGTTTTAACGGTCCTGTTGATGTCATCCCTGGCTCAGAATTCCCCTTTCAGATTTCCTGTTTGTCCTATCATTTCGTCATTGTCTCTTTCGATGCGTCTGGCTGGAAACAGTTATAATTCCCCTCATTCACTCATTGGATCTTTTTTTTCCCTTTCATTTTCTGTTTTCCCCCCTATTACGGTCTATCATGTAACTGATTTTTGTCTGTTCTCTCTGTCTCGCAGGGTCAGGCCCGACGGAGGAAGAACATAACAGAGTTTCTGGGTGAGGCGAATATCCCAACCCCAGATGCTCTGGGACAGATCGGTGGCTCTCTACCTGCTGTAGGGGCTGGGCCCGACAGCTGGAAGAACCGTGCTGCCAGCCGCTTCAGTGGCTTCTTCAGTTCCAACGCTGGAGCGGGGTCTTTTGGCAAGGTAATGCCGACAGGGTTGCGATCACATGATCACAGAAGCGAGTGCAATCTTGTTCCAAGTGAAAGTGCTGCACTTTCTTTTGGCTATGAAGGGCTGTAGGAGGCAGGCTTGTTGCCCAGACGATGTCTGAGATTAAGAAAACATTAAAAAAACAAACAGAACAGTAGCAAGTAGCAGTGGGAGGGGGTCAGAAGGCCATATCCCCCTTGAGCCCTGGTGAAGTCATTTCCTTTCAAAGTTCTCCTGACTTGTTGGCTCACATACTTTCCACCCAGCAGCTCTGGAAATGAGTAGGTAGAGGAAAAGCCTTCTGTTAGCACTCAGTTTTATCCACTCTTATCTTGATTTTTAAAACACCATCTTTGCTGGAAATTTGCTACTTTTAACTTTTTATCACATGGCTGATAAACAAGTTTATCATAAGGAATGGAAAATAGGGAAGGCGTAAACCTGGCTCTGTTTAAAAGGAACGCCGTCTGCCTTTCAGCTCTCGCAAGGTTAACCTAAGCAAAGGCTTCTCTTTCTGGATCAGAGGTTTTTGAAAATGATAATCAACTTTGATTCTAATGAAGGACAGGCACGCGCCCACACACAAACATGCCTTCCATTGTATTTCATCCCCTGAGGTCACATCCTTAACAGTGGCAGATGTCAAATGGAGACAGTTTCTGTCAGTCACCTGTCATTGCTGGGCCCATCCCTTTTCAATTTATTTGTTCCCCTTAAATCCCCTCAGGGCCAGAGATCCTGCACCTGGGTCTGGACCTTTGGCATCCTCCATATTGTAGGGTTAAACAACATTGAGCTGCTTTCACACCAAACTTTAGCGAGAAGTCCTAACTTTGGATCTTTTTCCCCCCCCCCATACATTTCTGACTTTTTGTTGACTGTTTTCAAGAAGCACAATCCTCCCGCTCCGTTTCTTTCCACTGTTTTGTAGCACTCACCCCACTCCCCGTCTCCTATTGTTAAGATGGTCTCAATGCACGGAGCTCATTTTCATAACTACATAAGGCCTGCCAGCTTGAACAAAGACCTGAATAGCAGCCTAGGCGCCAGCAAAGACGGGATTGTGTATGCTTATAATACACAGACCCCTCTCTACTTACAGTTTGAATGTAACAATAAACAGTCACACAAATGGACAGTTACTTTTGCGTCTCTTCATGTTTCTGTTCAAAATAGTCACATCTGTTTTTGAAATTGTTTTTTATCTGATCGCAGGAGGTGGATCGACTGGAGCAGCTCCAGAGCAAACTCCAGACCTACTCATTGTTTGGATTGCCAAAGGTGCCACGACAGCTCTCCTTCCACCAGGACTCCTGGGAGGAGGAGGAGGAGATCGACCTATCCCTAGAGGACAGCTGGCAAACGCTACTGGACAACTCAGAGGTACAGTGCAGATAAGCAAACCACACAAACACACCCACTTTTGTCTTGTCGTGTATGCGCAGACATAATGGAAAAAAATCAGTTTCCTACTAGAATCAATGCAGATATTTGTAACTTCCAGTGGTGTAATGCTGAACCACGAATGGTTTGGCATTACAATTTTCTCATTCATGACATTACTTGCATGCATGCTGGTTTCTGGTGTGTGCACAATTCTTACTTCCTTATATCTATCATTCTTACACTCAACCTGATGCCTCTTTTCCTGAAATACTGGTTATAATGCACTTCGCTGTTATGTTACCACAAGGAACTGAATTTCTGTGCCGCACATCTCATGCCGTCGCCGAGTTGTTGCACATGGTAACGAGTTAACGAGTCCACGATCAATCAGCAGGGCTAGCGGTTATTGCTCAACACATACGCTGTCTTTCATACTGTAAATGTACTTCTGATGGTTAGTTACACCGAACACATTACTGTCTTGATTGCTGAAACACAATAATGTTGGTGATGTGAGTTACGGTGGAAAAATATGAGAACATCACAAGGAAACAACTGTTGTTTTTGTTGCGTTGGGTGACAGATTTCCTGTGGAATTTTTAAGACAATAAGCAACCGTCGCGACTGACGTATGGATACAATTTACATTATAGCATGAAATCATAAGGAAGTATGCAGAAATAATAAAGATGCGTTTAATTAAAGAGTAAAGCGGAAAAATGGTTTGTTAGGCTCACACCATGTTGTACCACTTATCCTTATTCTAAGCAATCAGTAACTTGATTGGTTTTGAAAGTGAACATTTAGTTAATTGTTCATTTATTAATAACTAAAAGTTCTTGGAACTGTCCTTTAAGTCCTTTCATTTCTTACTTGTTTGTATATGTAAACAGTTTCTGAGGAAATATTGTTGGGGAGTTTTAGTATTTAGCTTAAATGTCTGATGTAATCGTTGCACTCCAAACTCTGACATGGGAATGAGGTGCGATTAAAAGGTCTAATCTAAAGGAAGTTTACGCTAATATTGTAACAGTTGAGAGGAACGTATAAATATTGTGTATGTTTATGAATAAAATCTGTGTGTGCGCAGACACTGACAAGACGCCAGTTCCACCAGCAGGAAGCAATATGGGAGCTGCTGCACACAGAGGCTACCTACATAAAGAAACTCCGAGTCATCACTGATGTAAGTGCAAAGAATGCTTTTGTTGTCTGTTCACGCATATATAAATTGCATACTGTGTAAGATGAAGAGGGTTATGTAGTGTAAAAGATAAGACATACAATGAAGCTCTTTTTCATTAGACATTGACAAAGTGTGGGGCCTATATCGCTGTCTAATAAACAAGGAGTTTAAGTTTAGACGTAACTGCAGTGCCTTACATCAGATTACTGTCGTAATATTCAGGGCTTACGCTCTTTTTATGTCTCCCTTCTTGCAGTTGTTCCTGTGTGGGCTGCTGAACCTGCAGGAGAGCGGCCTGCTGACGGAGGTGGAGCCCGCCAAGTTGTTCAGCAATATTCAGGAGATCGTCCGCCTCCACACCTCCCTTTGGACCCAGGTCATGCTGCCTGCCCTGAAGAAGGCTAGGCAAGCCCGGGCTCTGCTCGACCCCACTGACCTTCACCATGGTTTCAGAACGGTTAGTTTCAGACTCCACAGATGCAACAAAAGAGAATCCAAACCCTGCATGCACCCCCAGACAACAAAAAAGAAAGACATCTAGTTAATTTAAATAGTATAGAAACTTTATCTTGGTTTAAAGCATTGAGTGCATCTTTCCAAAGTCAAAAAATCCAGGGTTTTATATTTAATAAGTAATGTAATTACCATGTAACTACATGTTCAATATATAAGTGACTGATTATGTAACTATGACTCATATAAAGGTTTAGGTGTTTTATCAATTCACCTGATTAGTTGGGTTAAAGGTACACTGCACTGGATGCCAGTAAACATAAAACCTTGCTGTTCCACAATTTTTAAGCATAAATAGGATAAGAAACGTGAATTAGCAGCTAGTACGTCTTTGTTTTCCTGATGACAGAAGTAAATATGACGCATGTCTTTGTTTCTGTGTGTGTGTTCAGTTTGGCACCATGTTCAAGCCCTACATCCGTTATTGCATGGAGGAGGAGGGTTGCATGGAGTACATGCGCACGCTTCTCAGGGACAATGAGCTCTTCAGGACCTACGTCACGGTAAGGTTTCTCTTACCATTACGATAATCCCAGATGCTCTCTATGCCCAAAAACTCATCCTTGGCTTTTCTCCTCATTTCTGATGCCTGACTTCCTGCTTTTGTCTGACTCAATTCAGTGGGCAGAGACCAATAAGCAGTGTAACCGTCTGAAGCTGGCCGACATGTTGGCAAAGCCTCACCAGAGACTGACCAAATACCCCCTCCTACTGAAGATTCTTCTCAAGAAGACAGATGAACCAGCAACCCGTGACATTGTCAGCAGCATGGTAAGAACTTGGAAAACATTTAGAAAGTGCTGTTTTTCTCATTTACACTAAAGTATATGCTTTGACTGCTTGTCACCCTGCCTGAGGTCTGAATGCAAATGTACGTTTGTTATCGTTTTATCCTTAAAGGTTGCCACAGTAGAGGGCTTTATCAACAGCGTAGACTCCCAGATGCGACAGCGTCAAGAACAACAGAAGCTCGCCACCATCTCTGCCCGTATAGACTGCTATGAGGCTGTAGAGGGGAGCAGTGAAGAAGTGGAGAAGGTAAGAAACACTTTACAATACCCCAGTGCCCTAAAATTAGACTTCATGTCAAACTCTGCTTCATGCCTTTATCTTTTCCCCCTCAGATCCTCAAGGAGTACAACCACTTTGACCTCATGGCTCCCATGAGAGATGTATCTCCGGAAGAGACTCGACAGCTGCATCTCGAGGGCGCGCTGAGGATGAAGGAGGGCAAAGACAGTAGGGTAAGATTGACTCGCATGACTGCTTGGAAACACACGATGAGCTCTTATCTTTATATTCAGATTACACGTGGATTCTCATGTTTCCTTTGCGGTTACGTAAAATCTCACAAAAACTGCAGATGTGTAAAACATTACAAGAGTTACCATAACTGAAATGAGTTTACTGTCCCCACAGATGGAGGTCTATTGTTTTCTGTTCACCGACCTGCTGCTAATTACTAAGCCGGTGAAAAGAGTGGAGAAAGTCAAAATTATCCGTCAGCCTCTCCTTATTCACAACGTCATCTGTAAGGAACTCAAAGACCCAGGTGAGTGCTCAAATACTGACTTTAACTCCTGAATAATATATATTTTTTGTTTTAATAAAGCAGAAAATCCAGGAAATTCTCACCTTTTGAGAAGCTATTTAATTATATAGGGGACTTTTCAATCCACAGAGTACTAAATTTTTCATGTTTTATGTCTCCTACAGGCTCTTTCATCCTCATCTACCTCAATGAATTCAAGAGTGCAGTGGCAGCATACACTTTCCAAGCCAACAGCGCCACCCAGGGGCGAAGTTGGATAGATGCAATCTGCAATGTCCAGGTAGGATAGCAATGTTTTATTATAGAAAAAATATCGGACAGCATCCAGATATGAGATTTTTATGTGTTTTTTTTTTTTTTTTTTTACTTTAGAAGCACTAATTTTTACAGTCATTTACATATTTAATGTAAATGGTGCTTTTCAATTTAGAACCAGCTCCAAAGGCTTCGCACTGAGGAGTTCCTCCGCCAGCAGGACAGTCAGAAGAGATGTATGGGGGATGGAGAAGAGGAGGAGGAAGATGAGAGCAGCAACTCCACTACAAGTTCCCCTTTGCTGAGTCACAAGGATCAGCAAAACTCAAGGTACTGAAGTGTAAAGAATAAAATCTGCTGCACTTTTGTAACACAAATAGAACTCTCTTTCTGGTGAGCTTTTTAAGTCTAACATTCAACCAAAACTCTCCTTTCAGTCAATCAGACGGTTCCACTGAGACCCTATCAGTGATGGATGTCGATGAGCCCGGCGAGCACTCAGCAATTCCTGCTTCCAACATGAACCTCCAGGAAAGCGCTAATAAAGACTTGGATAGCGCTGTGGGTTCCCTTTCTGACAGGTCTGTGGGTCAGAAGTCGTCAAGTCCACTCAGAGTCCACTCCGCCATCTACACTGAGCACAATCAGGGCACGGGACCAGACAGTGAGGACCTGGACCCCCAGTGCCGCTCTCTTTCCATGGACAGCGCCTACGGTACCCTCTCCCCTGAATCCCTCCTAAGAGAACTGCAGCCACAGCCTGGCCAAAGTGAAGGCGAGGAGACTGAGGAGGAAGAGGGAGACAGGGAGAGTCAGGAGCCAGAGCACGAAGAGACAGAATTAGAAGAAGTGGATGAAGAAGAGGAAGAAGAAGAAGAGGAGGATGCTTCATTAGGGTCTCAGGTGTCAGTTGTCCAGTCCTCTAAACCTCGGCGGCGGCCTCATGTACACCCCCGACTCCATTGCCTCCTGGGGTTGTCCTCTCTGGCTCTATCCCGCTCCGAAGACAACCTCCTGCAACACTTTCACGGTAACCACCCCATCTCCCACACACACTCCCTCAGCTCTGAGACGCAGGACCAATCGCTGTGCGGAGACATGGACACGTCAAAGCTGTCGCACAGTAAGAGCATGTCCGAGCTGGACCAGAACTCGTCAGTGGAAAACAAGGAGTTATTTTCCACTGACCTCGACCAGTCTGACGATTGCTTGAGCATTAGCTTGCCCTCTGACAAACTCAGTGCCACCCTGAGGAGGGCGGAAGCCAGGCATGGCCACGGGGCGCCCGATGGACAATGTGAGGATAACGATTCTCAGAGCAACAGCTCAGATGGGGAAGTGACTCCTTCTGCCTGCTTAGATAAGAAAGCCAAGTCAGCAGCGGCCGGTAACTCAGGGGAGGCATCGCCCAAAAAGAGAAAATCTCCAGGCCAACACAAGAAGCTGACGCTGGCTCAGCTGTACAGGATACGCACCACTCTTGTCCTGAACTCCACACTGACAGCATCGTAAGTCATTACTTCTATTATATAAGAAATAATCTGATAGTTTGAGAAGAAACTTAATGTTATACATGTATTGTGGGTGGATACTGATAGTCTCACAGAGCCAGGCTCCTTGTGCCCTTCTGTTTTCAGCTGCATATTTATTATACATACAGGAGTGTTTTTGATCTCAAAGAAGGAAGTGAGGAAATGCTCCTAAATTTTGTTTTAGGTACTTTTCCTGAAAGGTATGTGTGTATTAATGTTATCCTTTCTCCCCCCCAGGGAGGTATAACAGCTTTTCCAAATGCTGACTGGTGGCATATGGACATTACAAGGAAGAATCCCTATTTTATGAGGATGGACTGAACACACAAATGCACTCGCTCTCTTCCTGCCCTCTCCCTTCCTGTTGCTTTTTGGACAATGACTGTCCCTTTTTTTTTAACATCACAACAATAGCAATCCATTTGTGTTTTTGATTTTGCTGTTGCGTTGGTTTCCAAATTACTCAAATGGGAGGGAGGGGCAGAGAGATATTAACTGCTTGCACTTTGCAATGGAAGTAGCATTAATGGGGGCTGGAACCTTAAGTTGGACTTTGGGGCGGAGTACGTAAGGAGCCCCTACAGACAGGAGGCATCCCGGCGGAGGCCTTAAGACCTCATTACTGCACTCCACACCAGAGAAAAGGTGGAGCAGAGTCCTGCACTTCTTCCTTCTCCTGAGGTGAAAAGAGGGAAAACTAAATCTTGAAAATCTTCTCTACACGTGGCTGAATAAGAAAACGGCGCCTAAGACGAGCTCCTGATACTTGTACTAGTCCTGGTTTGCTTCAGAAAAGTTAAAAAAAATTGCACAGTTATCTTTGTTAAGTAGAAGAATCACTAATGAGTGAATTTACATTTACAGTCACAATGAATTTTTATTTGTACGTGTTTGCTGTAAAGACATCTGTGTGTGACTGTGAATGAATGTCTACATTTGACTTATGAGTCCAATCCTGACTGAACCAAAATTGCTCCCGTTCTATTACAAACACAAAGATGGAAGACTTGTAGAGCTGGTAGATTCCCAGCAAAAAAAAATTATTAAATAAATAAAAGTGCAAAAAGGCAAAGCAAGTCCAAAGCAGCCAATCGCATGTCAGCTCATAAAGACTTGATTCTTCTTTATTTGATTATAGGTTGAACTAGTGAGAAGATTTTCCTAAAAAATAGACAGAACATGGGTGACTAAAGCTGTTTTGTGGAATTTTCTGCACTATATAAAGGCTTGGATGGCTTACAAGCACACACAGGAACTGATTTATAGGAAAAACAAAAGGAGTGCACACGTGATTGTGTTTCTTGCTAGAAAGAGGAGGCTAAATAAAAAGTTTGGGGTGGTGACTCTCATTTTAGATGAATGGTGTTCTCTGGGAGATTTAAGGGGAAGAAAAACACAGTAAACGTAAGATTCACACTGATGTTTGGCTTTTCAGATCAGTAATTACCGACTTTACTCAAAATGTTGCCCAAACCAAATAAGTTAAGTGTTTAGTTTTTTGTGTGTTTATGTAATATTTATTATGACTCATTTGTTTTATATATAAGATATTGTTTATATTGTTTGCTTCTGTGTTTTGTGATTTCTTTCTTTTTTTTGGGTCAATTTAGTCTTAATATTTTTTTTCCTTGCCAGGCATTAATGTGCTATGAACCAAAATAATGTGTTTCCTTTTTCAGTAATGACTATAAAGTGTCTTACAAAATAATAATTCAACACAGGCTCAAATACAGATACAATCCCTCTTTTTAATGGTTTAATCCAATGTAATGGAGTGATTTGAGGAGAGAGGCTGAATCTGAACGGCATGGCATTAAAACAACATGAACTGGTCAGACTGTTCCCGTCTCTTGTGTTCTTAACCGTGCACAGACAGCAGGTGGCGAAAGAACGTTGAGGGGCAAATTACACCAGACCGACCTGACCATGTGTGGCAGCAATTCATTAGATCAACTTATTTGATATAAGATCAGCAGAGCAGTGGCAGACGATGTATTGGCATATTTCGATTAAGTAAGAACTTAAATATATACAGTGCAGTGCGTGAATTACTTTTCTCTGAAGTTTGTGTAAGCGTTACCTTTTCACCTGTAACTTCAGCTTTGGTTTAGTACCATAAATATAATGGCAAAGCACAAATATTGAACTAGTTTTGAATGTAAAATGTTAACATTTATTGTAATTATAAGTATTAGCATGCAGTGTTGAAATGTGCTTTGAGCAAATAGACAAAGTAGAATTACAATGCTGCTTCAAACCACTTATATTCTACTTAGTTTGGGTTTAATTTGGATTCAAAGAGCATTTATATTTTCCAGTTAAGTTTCTGAGAACTCATTTGGATCACACAGTCAGTACAGCTGTCTGTCTGGGCCGACCGTCTGCTTCAAATTCCCAGAAAGTTCAAATGAGGTGAAATCCGACCCGTCTCAACAGTAAACGGTCCGACGAACATGTGGAGCATTAGACCAGAGCCTAATGGCCGAGAGTAACGTCCCGGCCAAGGTGTATTTACAGGTGATTATATCAGCTAATCGGTGGATTACAGCATGTTGAATCCACACAAGCCCCTAAGCTGCAGGGAAAAGACAGTGCGGCCCTGTGGGATTTTCTGTTTAATCTGGTCCCAGAATGCAGCGGCCCCTCCCATTCTCACATCTGGCCCATTGGGATTTACTGTTGTAATCCTTGATTTTAAAACAATTTTATTATGCTTTACTGCTGATGCGCTGAACTTTAATTAAATAAAATGCAGCTTTCTATTTTAGCTCTGAAGTAATTACACATCCCCGTTCTATTAGCCTCTGCTAAGTAAGTAATGAGGTTGTGCCATGATGGCTGCAATCTGGCTAAAACCTATAGAGTATATGCAAGTACATTATGACACACTATAAAATATGAATACGTTATAAGGTAAAAAAAAAAAGGGATGTTGCAACACACCTGCATAGGGCTTTTTTTTTTTTAACAACAACTGCTGAATAAAGATGCTATGAAGAAACATTTCTGTACCATCTCTTAAAGTACAGAACAGAAATGTGCATAAACACTAAACGGTGTAACTTTACTTACTTCTCCCTTTTTGCTTTTCTCTGCATGAAGTCTGGTGCAAATGTGCTGCGTACAGCTGGGGCAGCAGAGGGTTAACACCACTTGCTGTGGCAGATGTCAAAAACCATGCTGTAAAAAATGTCCGATTAACACAAAGGGGCACTTTGGCAAATCCTGATTATAGGAGCACTTTCATTTATTAAACTCTGCCAATCCTCTGTACTCTTTCTGAGCGGGGATTAAAACCAGGTAGACACTATTGTCTATCTAAACAATCCCTCTTTAAGCTCTAGCCGTTTCCCAGTGGTCTGACCAGGCCTGGCTGGCTGGCTGCTTGCCTGCCTGTAATCTCAATAGGGGCTTATAGGTCACTACTACCACTACACATTTCCATTCATCAACATCATCCCCTCTAAAGGGACTAGGTGATTGGATTTAGGACATGTTTTACAGGGTCAGAAAAAAAGAGAACAGCAAACTGAAGCGTGTTTACAAGCGCTGTGCTGTGAAAAGGCCAGTGGACGAGTGGCAGCCATATGGAATGGATAACCCTGGGAACATCTGCCCTCGATCACAACCAACGCCACTAGACTGATGC